ATATGGTAGCGGGGGCCCTGACACTGGATTTGAGTGATTTTCTTTGTAGAGCGAATACATCAACCTTATGTTTAAATTTGCTGCAAGGTAATCTTTATCCGTATGTCTTCGACTATAGTGACTCTTGTAGCGAGGAAATGAGTTGATATGTGCAAAAACTTCATTTTTTCTCTCTTCTGAAGTTTTTGAAGGAGGAGGATGGGCTCCTCTCTGATCTGTTTGGGCAATACCGGCTGTATTGTCGGTTCTTGACATGAGCATATATTTTATGAATCCGTCAGTAACGTCGAATGTTTTTTGGAAACAACTTTTGCATATGACCTGCATTTGACCATTTATTTTCAGGTGATATACATAGGTAAGTGTTCGATTTCGAATCGATTGACCTTCATGTCGCAATCTTTGAGTTGCTTTTGATTGTGAAGTAACAAGTCCACTCAGGTAGTCTGATCTTCTATCTCGACTCTTCATTGCCCAAAATGAATCAAACAGCTCCTTTCTCACAGCATAATCGAACTTATTTTTGCATTTCATTCTGCATTGTTGTAACTCTTCCGCGCACTTCTTCTCCGGAACAATTTTTCCCTTTTCAGTTACATAGGCTTTTCCCAAGTTTCTTTATCTTTTCTATCTTTTCTTATTTTTCTTGATCGCCTACATGGTACATCGTATTGCAGCTTTTCCTGCGTTTCAGTACTGCTATTTTCAGAATCTTGCCTCAAAACTTTAATATTTTTTTTTGGGATAGCCTGTTCTGGATTGGATTCATTATCAAATTCCGAAGTTAGTAAAAAATCTGGATCATTAAAAGTATCATCGCCAGCGAAGGGATCTTCTTCTTGTTTTTCTCCTTCTTCATCGTCAGAAAATGCACTTACCGCAGCTCCATCTTTGTCTTGAAAAAAAAAGACATATCAATTTAAAATAGCAAAATCATTCACTAGACATACCACAGGATTCATTGCCACCATCAGTGGTCTGAATGTCTATAGCCGTACAAGAATTATCTATAAATAATTCCAAATTGTCTGCTTTGTTTGACTGAGTAGTGGGTTCTGTGAGGAGGCCTTGAGAATAATCTCATGAATATTGATGACGATTACGATCTCTAAAACACTTACCACAATTGACAAGAATATTATTATATTCAAGGCCAGTGTCTGCAGCGAATATTTCTGGATCAATGTCCATTTGCATTCCACTTCTTTCTATTAACTCTCCAGATTCAAACTCTGTCACTTCTATAAGAATTACCAGTGGATATAATAAAGAATAACACGAATACAGTAGGTACCTATGGTGTATATAGAATATTTTAGTAAACTCACCATAATGAACTGGAAAATCATCGACAGGTCGAATTGAAAATGATGCAGGTGATGGTAGGTCACTACTTGGTTCTCCAGTTATATGATTTCCAATTGATCCAGAATCATCTGCAGAGATTAATTTGTTAACGTTCGCAGTATGTATGAATACCTAACCTTCAAATGGGTATTTTTTAAAGCCAGAGAGCTGCACTTACCTCCTTTATGACCAATTGCTAGAGCAAGTATCTTTTTGCTTCTTGAAGACATTATTATTACATATTAGGCGAAAACAACACTATTAAACACGCAAAAATCAACTACTAAACAAGAAAAGACCTGCTCAAAATCGCGCCAACGGAATATTAACACGTTTTGTTATGGATAAAAGTGACTAACTAGACTTATTTATTATAAAATTTATATCTAATAACGCGAATAACTTCTTATGTCGACTTATGTATGTAGTATTTTGGATTTAAACATGGGATGAACTAACTAAGTTGACATAGTTTAATTTACCCAGATTGATTCTGATTATTTTTAAAAGAGAAATTGAGCTTAAGTACACTTAAGGATATTTTACTGCATCAATTTATGAGTGAATTATCCAAAGTATTGTTATGACTTTCAACTCTAACATAATTTAACTTAAGCAGTTTCTCTCAACCAAGATTTTATCATTACGGCTAACGATGGACTTAAGAGGTTTTACGCACCCAAAAAGCAAAGGGTCTGGAGTAGTTTACAGCCAAAAGCTCAAATTACCAAAAATATGACTTAAGCACTTTTACCCTGAAACCACAGAATTGATCTTATGTCTATTGCCAATATGTAGGATTTCCTTGATCCTCTTCCATGGGATTGTTAAATAGCAGTCCATTGATTCAATAATAATAGTATAAAGTTAGAGGTGGTTTTGGAAAACACAAGTGTTTTGCCAAAGCTCCAACACACTGTTAAATACTCATACTATGAGTTTTATATTGCTCCGACACCGCCAGATTTACGCAATACTTGGTGGTTTTGCTTTGTAAGACAATGGAGAAAACTGAATTCTCTCTCATTGGGTACTTTCGCTAATTGCAGACCGGTTTCGGACTTGTTATGTCCTCGTCAGTGCAATATAAGCGAAAAACACACCAACTAAGAGAAACAGTTTTGCAGGAGATTCAAACACTAGACAAGATGTAGATCTTAAATAGCGTGTGGCTCCCTCTCGTAGAAGTCAAACAAAGCAATAACCGAGAACAGCCCATTTGGGTGTTGTAGAATAAAATCAGATTTTCGAAAATAAATTTTCGAAAATAGAAAATTCTTGACAGTGTGGCGAACCAAGTTAGAGGTGGTTTTGGAAAACACAAGTGTTTTGCCAAAGCTCCAACAGACTGTTAAATACTCATGATTTTATTCTACAACACCCAAATGGGCTGTTCTCGGTTATTGCTTTGTTTGACTTCTACGAGAGGGAGCCACACGCTATTTAAGATCTACATCTTGTCTAGTGTTTGAATCTCCTGCAAAACTGTTTCTCTTATTTGGTGTGCTTCACAGAACATATCACCTCTAGAAAAGTATCTGCAATGGTATGTACCGGTTATGAATTACGGCGCCCTCGTTGACTGAAAACCCAACTAATCGAGTATTCTTGACAAAAAGGCGAATTGATTTTTTTCATATATTTTTATTATTTTTGTATAATTTTTATTGTTCAACTGCATTTGGCTTGCTGACTCCTCTTAGCTCTTTTCGCCTCATTTTTTTAAAAACTATGACTGGCAGGAAGTTTCCGATGTCGAACATAGTGCAAAAAGAGTTAGTAAGTTAGCAAGAGACACGCAATTATAGGTAGATCGCAAAGTAAATACGAATAATAAATACAAATACGAACGAAACGAAACAAACGAATAAATACAAAAAAATACGAACAAAAATTAGGTTTTTTTTCAACCAAAACTTTTTGAATTTTCACTTTAACGCGCGTGGAAACCGTGGGGTACAACAACACAATTTAAAAGTGATTTAAAAATTCAAATTTTGACTTTTAAAATGACAAAATAAATGACAAAACCAACCAACACAAATCACTGTCCACACCACAGATACCTATAAATTTCTCTTATCTCCCGACAGTGTCGCCATCGTTGAATGAAAACCTAACTAAAAACCTTTGTCGCGATTCTTCCATTTGAGATATTTTTCTATAGGTATTAGGTGATATGTTCTGTGGTGTGCTTTTCGCTTATATTGCACTGACGAGGACATAACAAGTCCGAAACCGGTCTGCAATTAGCGAAAGTACCCAATGAGAGAGAATTCAGTTTTCTCCATTGTCTTACAAAGCAAAACCACCAAGTATTGCGTAAATCTGGCCGTTTCAGAGCAATATAAAACTCATAGTATGAGTATTTAACAGTGTGTTGGAGCTTTGGCAAAACACTTGTGTTTTCCAAAACCACCTCTAACTTGGTTCGCCACACTGTCAAGAATTTTCTATTTTCGAAAATCTGATTTTAATAATAGTATATTTTTCTTGGGTATGTAGTTCTACTTTTCAAAAGAAGCAATTTCTTTCAGGTGTGGTCATATAGTGTAACTCAGAATATTTCTTGCAAAATTTGTATGCCACCATATTCAATAATTTTTATAATTTGGTAAGTTTACTTGAAACGGGAGCAAATTACGAACGTACTTGACCTCTTAAACTCAAAGTTCCACTTTGGCATCTATCTACATAGACTAAAGTACATTACTCTCAAAATTAACACAAAAATCAAGGCAGAAAGATTAAGATAACGTTGATAACGATATGAGAATGAGGATGCAGCTATTTGAAAGTTTTATTGTATTACTTAAATTTCAAAATATTTATAAAAATTATATTTGATTACATATATTATTTAAGCCAGAAAATTTGGCAGCACTCTTTCCAGCATCGTATGCAAGGGGAAAGCAAAGATAGACATCTTTCAATCATTATCTGCATTTTTCTCAAGGAAATTTTTCTTCCTTTCTATTCCTGACCAGTGTATCTCTATATGTATAGTATCCATTTCCTAGCTTTCGTCGTCTCTTTCATTCTGTCTTTATTTTTTCTCTGTCTAGTTCTTGTTACTATCCGTTGATTAGTTAGAAATTCAATATTCCAATTTAGTGCTATGTCTTTTCATTCCAATCCTTGTTGTGTGCTGTATTATCTCTTGTTTCAATTTGTTTTGTCTTGACCCTTTTCATTTGTCTTCTTCTTTTTATATTTTCCATATGCTTTATCTCCCTCATTATTTTTGGTTGTCTCTTATCTTTTTTCATTGTATCATTAACCATTCTTAAAATATTTCGGTTTTCTTCTCCTTTGTTCTTTATCCTTTCTCATATCCTTTCTGTTTTTTCGACTACTGTTTTTTTCCATTTGTAGAATTTCCATTTTCTTCTATCATCTTTTTTTTTCTGCCTGATAGAGCTTAACTTTGCACATATTGTTTCCTTCTCCAATCTAGATTGTCATATTTACAATACTTAATTTATATGTGTTTCAATTTTCAATTATTCCGTTTTGGTTATTTGCTCTGGAGGAATTTGGCAAACATAAAATGACTGGTCAATTAAAATTAGAATAGGAAATCTTGGAAACTATAGGACAAATTTAAAAAAATGCAGTGTTCAATTTTTTATAAAAAGTCTTAAGTTTATTGAATGTCTATTTCTATTAATGTCTTTTTGCAGCACGAAGACAAACAGCAAGTTCAGCAACTTCTAGCAGTGTATAATCAAGCAAAAACAAAATATGAAGAGCAAAGTAGTGACTTAGAAAAAAATCCTCTTGTAATTTTAGAAGGACTTGATGGTTCTGGTTAGTTTTCATTTCGAAACAATACCTCTTTATTATTCTATCATTTTTCAGGAAAAACTTCCATGACCAAGCAGCTGGCTAAAAAATTCAAAGCCGAGAAGAGATGCACTCCTCCAGAATCCATAAGAGATTTACGAGACTACTTCGATAAAGAATTAACATTGAGGCCGGCTTACTATTCTTTGGGAAACTACATAGCTGCTCTGGAAATTTTATGTGTATTGCCTGAGAATGCTGTAGTCATGGATAGGTGAGCATTTTACCATTGTCTTAAATAATCTTTGAAAGTTCATGGTGTCCTGCTCACAGTCCGGTATTATATAGTATTTTTACTTACCCCAAGATTATTTTTGGAAATTATTATTATCCTTTTCATTATATTATTTGACTTTAAGATACTGGCACTCGACAACTGCCTATGCATTAGCACAAGGTGTAGCCGATCGCCCCTCGGAACTGGAATTACCAAATCCTTCCGATGAAATTTATAAATGGCCAGATGATTTGTTGAAGCCGGACAAGGTGATTTTTTTGAATGTGAGTGAAGAAATGCGATTGGAACGACATTCAAGAAGGGCTGCTGCTTTGGTGACTACCCAAGAAAATTTATTGAAAGATAATGTGAAGTTTAGAGGAGAGTAAGTAATATTTTGCTGTCAATGTTTTATTGTTTATAATGAACTATTATTTTTGGGTGAAAATTAAATTCATTATTTCTATATTTTCAGCGTGATTCAAGCATACAAAAATATGCGCGAGCCTGCAGTTACCATTATCAATGGAGACGGATCATTTGGAGTTACTCTTTTTAAACTCAAAAATAATCTTAAGTCTTTATTAGAGAAAAATGTAAGCGGCGATGTTTGAATATTTTTAAGTATATAACATTTGTTACGCAATTATTTTTTCAAATAAAAACATGTTTAAGGAAACACTTTGTATGGATTCAAAATCCTGTTCGGGTCGAGTAGTTTTTTCAAATCAGTCATCAGTGTATATGATGGATGGTCATTGACTATTGGCAAATATTTCCTCTTCAAAAACCCCAATCCATGTTCGGCGCTCATGCTACCTCTCATGTCCAAAATCCTTTTTGTTAGAAATGTTTCCAGGTCATCGGCCAGCCATTTATCGTATTTTCTAGCTAGCACCTGGAGGTGTAGATTTCCATCACCTAAATGTCCGAAACCAAAGACGTCTTCGACGTGATTTTTTAAATAATCTCTGGTTTCATCTACGATATTGAAATATTCGGTCACTGGCAAGGAAAGGTCGTATAATGCACACCATCCATAGTCTTTGAATCCTTGTGGTAGATTTTCTCTTATTGCCCATATTGACTGAAACAATTTAAAATATATTTGATGATAATGATGAGAAATTAAAAGAAGAATCAATACACATATAAAACTGTTATTAATTAGTAAACAAAAACAGGAAAAAACAGAAAAAGGTGTATTAAATACAAATATATACAGCAACAAAACAGTTTAACTCGGTTCTAATACAAAGCAAGCGTGCATTAAAAATTTGTCAAAGGACCCCGCACATTTCTTATGGAAAAGTGATCTATGTGGAATTTAGCTGAATTTTTGATATTGTGTATAGGGAGTCGTCCTTAACAAAAGTGATCATTGCGCCAATATTCAATACCCAACAGTTTTCAAGATATCAATTAAAAACTTTTTTAAAAATACTCTTCAGTATGACGTCACTCACAGCAACGAAAATTATTACTATCCTTTCTACTTTTGACTTTGACTTTACTCTTCTCCTTTTAACATTAAGAAAAAAAAAAGATAGCGATAGCGATTAGTGACAAATAGGTAGGTATGCAAACAACACCTAGCTCCTATCGCAATCGTCAACTTCATGTCATGATGTCTGTCATATAGCGATTTCATTTGTACCTGTTGTTGTTTTTTTTTATTTCCTAAATGTTAGTGTAGGTAGTCAAAGTCAAAAGTGGAAAGGATAGTTTTAATTTTCAGTGCTGTGAGCATACTGGTGACGTCATACTGAAGAGTATCAAATTAAAAAAGTTTTTAATTGATATCTTGAAAACTGTTGGGTATTGTACATTAGCGCAATGATCACTTTTGTTAAGGATGACTCCCTATACACAATATCAAAAATTCAGCAAAATTCCACATAGATCACTTTTCCATAAGAAATGTGCGGGGTCCTTTGAAAGCTATCTTGGATATGCATACCATTTGCAAAAACTTCAATAAAATCACCTTTGAATATAGATTTTTTTTCCCCCTTTGATCCTTGAAAAATCATGAATGTCTTGAATGTCTTCACCTTTGAAGGACTGTGATTGTTAGTAGAAGCAGATAGAGAGACAGATATTTCATCGAAGTTGTCATATTTCAACACCTTGAAATTAAAATTGCTTTTGACTCTACTTGATTTCTGTTTTCATAAGATTCTCTGATAGTTGGTCAACTGCCAAAAAACATTGCCCATAAATGTTTTCAATCCCGTCATTGCAAGATAAATTGGTAAATTGGCTGAACCTCGATGGGCTGAACGATTGGTTCTAGCAGTAATACAAACTGTCCCTTGTTCTTTTTATGTTTTTTGATGTAGGCCACAACACTTTTGTGATATCATGTCAGGGGATGACAGTTATTACATATTTGAATTATAAGAAATGTCACATTGTTCCTTGTAGAATGATAATTATTATTTGTATACCAAGGCCGCAAAATTGCTTTCTACCGTGCGTAGAGAAAAATTATCGCCGAGGGGGCAAGATAATCTCGAAGACGCTAAAAAATTTCGTGGTCATGGTATACACACTATTTTTTGTGCAACTGTAAAAATTGTGTAAAGTTACAGAAAAACTGTATGGATTTGATAAGGATTGAATACATTTGCTAAAGCTAACTTGCTAAAGTCTGATGAAATAGCTATCGTAATGGGTGACTTCAATGCGAAAGTGGGAAAAGAAAGAGTTGATGGTGAGATGGGTGATTTTGGTCTTGGCGAGAAAAACGAACAAGGTAATCTACTTATTCAGTTCTGTAAAGAGGAAAAATTGGTTCTTGAAAATACCTACTATAAACTACCTTCCAGAAGTATATACATGGCGATCCCCATAAGACAATCACGACCACATAGTCAGAAATCAAATTGACTATATTATGATAAACCACAGATACTAGAATAGTATCACGCGTGTGGCCGCATATCCGGGAGCTGATATTGGATCTAACCATATCCCTATAATAGCCAATTTCAAACTGAACCTTAAAATAACAAGGAAAAGAAAAGCCTCTCGAAAATACGATATTCAGAAGCTTAACAAGACAGACATTAAGAAAAACATGAGACTGGAACTGAACCGACTATGCAATACCAATGACCCAAGAAGCAGAAACAATCCTGAAGACATTTGGAACAACGTTAAAGTAAATCTTCAAGATGCCTGTGAGACAGTCTTAGGCCAGAAGCAACGCGTCAAAATTATACCATGGATGACGGATGAAATTCTTCATATAATGGAAAAACGGCGACGTGCAAAACTATCTCAAGAGTCTGAAAGGTATACTGAACTACATCGGAAAATAAAACGATAATGTAGAGAAGCCAGAGAACAATGGATCATTGCAGAATGTGAGGAGGCTGAGAGACTCCATGAGCTACATGACTCAGGGACACTTTATCCGTTAGGACAATTAGGTCATGTCCTACGGGCCACTAGAGGATGGAAGGCCAACTGCTAGCCTTTAATTTATAATATAAAATATAAAAGCCCACTATATTAAAAACATCGACTTGTTTAGTAGCAGGACTAGCATATGTTTCAATACTCTTTAATTCTTATAATAGTTATTTGTATACCAAGGCCGCGAAGTGCCTTTTAGCGTACGTAGAGAAAAGTTATCGCCGAGGCCGCTTGCGGCCGAGGCAAGATAATCTCGAGGACGCTAAAAAGTTTCGCGGTCATGGTATACACACTATTTTTTGTGCAACCATGAAAATTATGTGGAATTATAGAAAAAATGTACTCCTTTCAACAAACATGTGGAACTAATTACCAGTTTGATGTATAACCTGGTGGCTATGGTGGCACAGCGTTTCCATGGATGTCATGGATGACATATTTTGCAAGTAAACAAATACACAAAAAATTTTGACGGTTCTCAAAAAATCGTGAAAATATCCGACAGCGATACAGATGTTTCACTCTCTTGCACTCCTCCAGAGCTAAAAAATATGGTTCAATCAGCTATTTCTGAGTTAATACCTGGAAAACTAAGCGGCAATATGAAAATTGTTACTGCGAGTTCAAAAAATTGGTGTGACAAACAAAACGTCAAAATGGTGTCTGAAAGCATATTGGCTAATTTAATGCCGAAATGGGAAGTTTTGAGAGTTCAATTCAAAAACACTGGATTATTAGTTGCTTCAGCTTCAGGAGTAAATATTAGTAATAATGCAAACTGTCATGTAAGTGTTAATATTTATCCTAAATAATTTATGTTGTTCTGAAGAATTTGGAAATAAAATTTACTTATTGTTGTTGTCAAAGTGTCAAATTTTGATTTATAGTTTCGCGGCCTTCACCAAGGGCAACGGCCGCGAAATTGAATTTCGCGGACTGTGTGGCGGCCGCGAAAGCTCATTTTGCGGATGGTTGCACAAAAAGTCTGGTTTTTTTAAAGATGACATAGCAATACAATGTAAAATTGTCAATGCTTTCAATTTTTTTATGTAGAAGAGGCTTGTGTTGCCAACATAGTTACTAGATTTTTGACTTGGAAAATTATCTTTAAAAAAAAAAACAGAGTTTGATTCACACTGCACAAGCACATTTGGTTTGGCCAGAGTGCACTGCCTGACGTCACGATGCTTTGGAATCGCTCCGCTCGCTCCATCGAGCATCAATCCGGAACACACCCTTAAGTCACCGAGCTGGGTTGACTCACCGTCGCGTCATAGCGCAGCACGGGCACGTGGCAACTGACAACGACTACAGCAGGAACCTGTTAGTGTCTTAAGGATCCAGTGTACCACGAAGTCGTGCCTTGTTGTTGTTGAGCTTGTAGGACATGCACAGGCAATGTGGTACGAATTTTCCTCAGAGTTGCAGCCCTTTATACATCTCTTCCTCGCTAATGGATTTGATCCCAAGCCATGCAGCTGTTCTTCCGAAGCACCCATCAGTACACTTAGTCTTCAGCATCCATATGTGATGATTGGTAGGCTGGGAAATCAATGCCATCATTTTCTTTTAGGAAGTTCCTACTATATAGCATGTTTTTTGTGACCATTCTTGTTCCATCATTTTGTAGTACCTTTCTTTGATTTTACCGGATACTACTTGGCAACATTTTGTGTCTTCATCTTCTGGTTAGTAGTTTGAAATCGTCTGAATCATTTTATTTAATCCCATAAAAAAGAACAATCACTCAGGCAAGGCCAATCCAAATAATTGACCTACGGGCCAGAGAAAGGTTAAAGCGTCACTAACATGACTTGGTCAACTCATTCATCGAAAGATAAAGCAAATAACTGGATCAAAGGACCATCAATACCATCTCTTAGAAATGAAAATGGAGAACTCATCCTTAATGCAGATGACCTGCGCAATGAATGGAAACAGTACGCGGAAACGCTTTTTCATGATCAGCGCAACTTGCAAGACCTCTACAACAGAAAAACTAACTGGGCCAGACATACTGGAGAGTGAAGTTCAACAAGCTATCAAGAACATGAAAAATCGAAAAAGCCCTGGTCATGACAATGTACAGGGTGGGCCAATTTGGACACTTTCTTATGGAAACACCCTTTATTTTTAGAGATAGAAAAAAATGAACCCCCCACTCTGAGGCTTAAATTTAATGAAATTTTGATTGGTGCATTTGATATCTTCAACCGTTTAGCCGCTAGAGGGCGGTTCTCGATTTTGAGCAATAATGTGAAACCATCATAACTTTTTTGTTTATGGAAATTATTGATTTCCGTAAAAACTTTCTTGAAACACTTTTTCAAGCAGAATTCAGTGACGTTCTCAGTTTTTTTCTAGTTGGTCCCAACGTCGAGATATTGACCAAAGTCTGGTTTTTTTCAATAGGACACCCTATATATTAATAGCTCATTAGAAAACTCTGCTTTTTCCGATTTCAATGATATAAAGTTCGATAGGTTTATCTCTAACAGCCCAGTTTCATAATCAAACTTTAAAAGTTAAATGCTACTTTAAAAAATGTTGGTGTTTCATAATACTTTAATGTCACTTTAAAGCCACTTTAAGTTAAAGGGCCGATTTCCACACTTTTATCCAACTTAAAGTGCTATGTAACCTCGAATTCGCACCAAGTCGCTA